CAGGGGAGTAGTTGTTTTTTGATAGGTGTCAGTCCATTAACCTATTGTGTAGGGTGTTGAGACTGGCCTGAACGAATTGTTCTTTTAGATGATTTGTTTTAACGAATTATTGATAAACAATTTGGTCTTATTCAACGAGTGACGCTTTACTACCTCCCTCTTGCGAGTCTTGACTCTGAACCCCTAGCTGCCTGCGCGAGCGTCCTTGTCTTCCCTTCGTGGCTACATGCGTGGATATATTACAAAATATAACAGTTTATTAATGGACAGGATCGTCTCCAACTAATTAAGGCCCATTTGACTTGAAAATTGTCCACTCGCTTTAAACATGTGAAGTGTACTTTGCACGGCACTGTGAAGGAACAATGACCTTGGGAGAGTGTCTTGGATAGTCCTATCCACCTCTCACCAGTGAGCCAGTCTATTTTTAGAGCCCTGTCGGTGTGAGAGAACAGTTTTTGGGCTGAAAACTCTCCGGCCTAACACATAGATGCCGCTAGTCTTATTCCATTCACCGCTTCTTCCGTTAGTCCGGTTAACATGAATAAAATCATCTTTCGTGAAAACAATTCAATATCAATTAGTGAAAATGAACATGAGATAGCTGAGAATTTCAATAATTACTTTGTTAATAGTATTTCGAATATCTCTAAGAGTATCCCTCAATCTGATGAATGGTCATCCACAAATTATTCAGTTATAAACAGTTCTTTTTCCAAATTTAAACTATTAACGATGACTCAACTGCGGAAGATTATTCATTCCTTAGACAATAAAAACAAGTCTTAACACAAAACTTTGTTGGCGAAACGCGCGTCAAGTGCAAAAATATCAGTTTGGTGTTAGGGNAAAAAGTGAAAATAACTCTTTCACTAGGTACCCTCCTTCTTTTGATACATGGCTTTTGGACATGATGCTTATTGAACGAGAGTCAACCAAAACAATTCTTCCATAGTTTCAATATGAAAGAAACAACTAATCAGAACAAGCTATTTATTTATGTTTAGTCATGACCAAATATACCTAATTCACAAATATTATAGATCATCAAAGTGTTCAATTCAAGTTCCCTTCAGATGTAGTAGGCACTGTAATACCCAGAATAGTATGGGTATCCTCCATAGTAATACTGTGGCGATGCTCTTGGAAAGGGGTATGGAGCTGCTTCTGGTAAACTTTTTGGAGCTGCAATGGCGATGGATAACACGGTGATGGCAACAAAGAAAAAGAAAATCTGAAATCAAAAAGCGATATTGAGCATTCTGAAGCTCAGGCAAACGAGATCTAACCTATTAGATTGAAAATTTGTATTTCATTGAGTGCAAAACATGTTTATGATGATGCATATGATGATGGAGATTGGATTGAATTTATTTGAATTAAAACGAACAAAAAAAATATACATTTATTCATCAATTTATATTTTGTCCCCGTCAGATATAATAAACTTGTGCCAGCGTTTTTTCCAATCCTACATGCATTTCCGATATGCAATTTTTGGAATGTTTTTGAGCTCTCCAGCGATTCAGTTTTTATCTCCTCAATCGTCGCAAAACGCCGTCCTTTCATGGGTCTATTCAATCTCGCAAACAGAAAAAAGTTGTAGGGAACCAAATCTGGTGAATACGGTGGCTGAGGCATGATTACAGTGTTGTTTATGGCAAAAAAATCACGAACAAGCAATGACGAGTGAGCAGATGCATTTTGGTGAAGCAAAATCTATGAATTGTTTTTCCACAATACCGGCTGTTTTCTTCGTTTTGCTTCTCGCAAGCAGCTTACGACCATGTGGTAAGAACTCCTGATGCGTTACGCCACAGTAATCGAAGAAAATATTCAAAATTATTTTGAAACAAATACTTTTATATGAACACTTATATGATCAGGAGTTCTTGTCACATGGTCGTACGATCAATATTATCTATAAGTTAAGGGCCGCTTGCAAGAAGCGATATGAACAAAACGTCTGGTATTGTGCAAAAACAATTCATGGCTTTTGCATCACGATAATGCATCTGCTCACATGTCATTACTTGTTCGTGATTTTTGGGCCAAAAACAACACCAAAATCATACCTCAGCCACCGTATTCACCAGATTTGGTCCCGATTTTTTCTGTTCCTATGAAAGAGATCCATGAAAGGACGATTGAGGAAGTAAAAACTGAATCACTGAGAGATCTCAAGGACATAACAAAAAGTGTACATTAGAACTGCTTCGAAGATTCAAAGAAACGCTGGGCACAAGTGTTTTAATATCTAAAATTGATGAACGATTAATATTTTTTGAGAAAAATGAAAGTTAACCTCATTTTTTGAACAGGCAGCATACAATTGTTACAAAATTTCAGGTGAACTGAATAAAAAACCATCAGCCAGTAGATAAAACGAAATTTTCAAACTAACCTTTACTCAAACTTGAAGATGACTTATTACTTGGACTGTCTTTACTCCTGGTTTTATTTATTGTGATTTTCATGCCGTCGGAACTTGGCTTCACCATGTACTCCGAGTTCTTTGTTTCACCTAGTTTGGCATTTGCTTTACTCGATTCATTTGATTTACTTGAGCTCGTCCTTTCCTTATTACTACTAGTTTTATTACTTAAGTCTGTTGCTGTATCACAGTGTTGGGCATTGACTTTCAGTTTATCCACAATAGCTGACAAAGAACTTTTGCGGTTTTTCACTTGACTGGGATTCGTTTTTGAATGATCACTAGTTCCGCTGGGAGACGGTAAACCATCGGATATCACTTCACAATTATTTAAATCTAGCGATTTCACTTTGAGGGAGGAACTTTTATTTTTTGTATTGACACCAAACGTATTAGATGCTTTTTTATCTTTGTCTCGGGAATCTTTCAAACTTGATTTGATTCTGGGTTCATTGCTTGCTTTGCTGGAAGGAGAGTTGGCAGCATTTTTCAATGTGGACATGCTAGGTTTTCCAGACCCAGTGGTCGAAGGATGTTTAGGGGAAGTGCCATGATGCTTAGGACTTGAAATACCGGAAATGTTGTGCTTGGGGCTACTTGAAATGTGTGCGGGAGAATTTTTTGGGCTCTGGTGTGACGAAGAACTCGATTTAAGGTTAGGTTTAGTCAGATTTGGACTGAGTTTACCACTAAGAGATACGGTCCTATTTGGAGTAGGAGAAACGTTGAATTTTCTCAGCAAATTAGGTGAAGTGGGAGTAGAGTTGGGTGGAGGTGATTCAGCAGGTTTGATACTAACTGTAACTGGTTTATTCAACGGGTCCTGCTTGTGAGGAACTTTTTCAGGAGGTCCCATAGGACTGTCGTCATGTTTCTTACGCCTTTTTTTGTCCATCCTAGTTTTATCATCTTTACTACTCCTGCTCTTCTTTTCCTTTGATTTTTCTTCTGAAGATTTAGACGGACTTGATGAAACCGGGGTAATAGTTATTGAACTTGTCACAGGTTCTGCCACTCGTTTTTCTTTAACATTATTCACCGCATATCCCAAAGTCGGACTGGCAGGTATCGCCGTAATGCTGACGTTGGAAGAAATTGCATTTTTATCTTCAATATCGCTAAGGGCAACGGTAGAAATCTCATCTTTGACTTTAAGGTTGGGCCTCCTCATCATATTTACTTGGAGTGTGCTTTTTCTTAAGTTAATTTGCCACGGATCCTGTTTCTCTGAATTTCGACATTATTCTTGACACAGTAGTATGTTGAACAATTTTTCCTGGATGCTGTTCATTGAAAATGTTAGCTACTTGTCGGTATGGTGTATTCTCACCACATATTAAAACTATTTCTATTATTTCCTGAAGAGACAACATTATTGCAACAATAACTGTTGACACTACCATAGCATGCATTTTGTTTATCAAGACCTACTTAAAAATTTTATTCAACGTGATTAAGCATCCTTACCGCCCTAGTTAGTGTTTATAAATAATCTGTAAATACTGAACTTTGAAATTTTAATGTAATTTCAACTCTAGTAATTTTATTAATACTTATTGCAGTTTTTGAGTTGTTCCTGCTTTTTCAAAATTGAAGGTACTGACGTTTGTTTAAGAAAATAGCCAAGTGATTGAAACTTTGCACCAGTCATGTTAAAATTTTTATAGCACATTTTTAATTTCTCTCTTAAAATGTCCGTATAAGTAAAAATGTATCAGAAAAGTTAAACTCCATGATGAGTTTGTTATGTAATGTCAAAAATAAGCAAAACGTTAACTTCATCCTAGTTGCATAAAATTTGGCATATGGACATGAAATTGCCGTAGACACAACTTTTTCAAGTAACTTTTTGTTAAATTCGATCTAGAGATGCACCTTTTCAATTTTTTTCAAAAATAAAGTTAAATTTGACAAACACTGAACGTCAGTGGGTCGCAGTTGGCCGCATCATCTTAAGTTAAATTTAAAACGTAAACAAGTGCCGAAGTTAAACTTCACTGAAACTTTGAAAAAAGTTTCCCATATGGTGCGCACTTTAATGGTGACACTGTATATGGAAGTTTCGTCCGAGATCAGAACTATAGACTGCATTTAGTTTTTTTCAATTCTACTGATAATTATGCGTGATATTAATTGCCTAGTTAATATTAGCCTGAAAGTGTAATTTTCCAGCTTTGACACCTTGTATTTCCAAAACTATACATAGAATTTTTTTGTGCCTATGGTGACTTTTGATCAGTAGATCGAACTCAACAAAATACTAAAATTTCAAGCGATTCGACAGAAAGCCATTTTGCATAAGGAGTGTGCGTGGTCCTTTCAGAAAATACAANGCTATACTTGAATGGTTTTCTTTTAGCAAAACAATGGAAAATATAACTCGAAATGTAAATACCTAGTGTGTACGTTTAAATTTAAAACAAAACAAATATATTAATACTATCGAAGGAGCTGCTAATTACTATATATAAGATTATACTTTGTGAATGTAGATTAGGATTACCTATTTCAATAAAGATTATTATTAGTTTGAATTCTATAATGTTCGAGTTTAGAAAACGATAGATGGAGACATCTCAAACTCAATAAAAAAAAATCCATTAGTATAGTTAACTTGTACCTGAAAGAATATTAGTGAGTTCCATATTGGCTAGCACCCCCTCGGAAGGTGGGAAATTTTGAAAATTCGAAGCCATCGATTCGCTTAAAAACATACTCTGGCTGGCCTGCATCATCATTCCATGGCTTGAACTCCCCGAAGGCTCTTGCTTGATCTTATCATTCAACCCTCCGAAGCCTACTATGCTGGGACCCGAAGAGTCCTTGTGCCCACCAGGATCGCCGGAACCGAGTGGTAAACTAAAATTTTCATGTCCACCATAATGATTCCTTCTCAACGACTGCTTCTCCCACAACTTGATAACGGACCGAAGAGTAACAGGAATGGAAAAACATTTGTTGAGGATTTTTGTACTCAAATCAGAAGCTACATCAGGAGCGTTCACTGGTGGAGGTGTTCCCGGATTGTGAATTCGGCAAATGAGGTTGGAAGCATCTGTGAGATCTATTTCTGCCGTAGCCATACTCTCTTCTATAGGGTGTTCCAAAGATATGGAGATATGGGTAGAAGACAGAGCGCTCACTTCAAACATGGTCATATTTTCAAAATCTAAAAAAAAATTTTGATCTCATTAGAAATAAAACACCAAGAATGGTAGGGGAAAAATCAATTACAGTAAAGCGTCAATAATCCGAACGTTAAAAATCCGAATGCTCGCTGAACAAACTTTGATGAACATGCACAAACTGTGAAATGATGTGAGTGGACTGTATTATACTTTTAATGAATTTTTCACGTATAGTCAATGGGCATACTTGAAGACTGGCTATAAATCAAATCATCTAAAAGAACAATTCGTTCAGGCCAGTCTCAACACCCTACACAGTAGGTTAATGG